GGCCGCGCCTGGGGCCCGCGGGCTGCTGCTGCCGCCGCTGCTGCTGCTGCTGCTGGCCGGGCGCGCCGCGGGGGTGAGTGCGGCAGGGACCCCGGTCCCGCGACCCTCGCCATCCCAGGTCCCGACCCACCCCCCGAATTCCCGCCTCGCCCCGTCAGAACCCCCACTCTGCTCCTCGCGCCCCCTGGGATCCCCACCCCGCCCCCCGCGCTGCCACTGGTGAGGAGGCCACCCTGCCTCCGGGCGCCTTTGAAGGGCTCGCCCACTCTCCCTTTGGGACCCCTCCCCAGGAGGGAAGAACCAGGGTGCGGGTAGTGAGCATCGCCCACCCCCCATCCCCGCGGCCCTGCGATGCTGCTCCTTGGCGGCGATGCGGGGGTCCCCGGCCCGGCTGAAGGGGCTCGGTGGTGGCGCTGACGCGCGGCTGGGGGGCGCCGGTGCCCACAGGCTGGGTGTGTTGGGGGCCCCGCCTCGTGGGTGTGCCTGCGCGGGCCACTCGCTGGGCGTCGCGGCCGAGGACCCTGCATGGGGAGGGTGTGCACCTGGTTCCTTCTAGGATTGCTTCCCCCAAGCCTCACGCAGGGCAGCGGGGCTCTGAATGGGGAGCAGAGGGTGGTTTGGTGAAGGTGACCTGAAGGGAGAATGAGGGTGCCCCTGTGTGTGTATCCCCCCTCCCCTGTCTCAGTGAGGGCCTGGACCTGGGGGTATGGGGTGCGAAGGTTTGCCCACTAAATGTGTGGGTGCCACCGTTCCCCCGAGTGGATGGGTAAAGGAGACCTATTGTGCGTGGCGTGTACTAGTGCCTGGCTGGGCCACTGTGGCCACAGCCATGTGTGCATGCTGGGGAGTGGGGTGTAAGTGGGAAAGACCTCTGGTGGGCGTGTGCTGGGCTTGCAGGAGTGTGCGCACAAGGCTCAGTTACCCTGGACACAGGGTAGGCACCATGGGGAGGGCCACGAGTGTGCAGGCAGAGGCAGTGTATGAGGTGACCCCTGAATGTCCCTCTGAGTGGTCATAGTGGCTGTGGGGTTGAGCTTGGCCCCAGCTCCATCCATGAGTGGGAGGGAGAGAGTGGGGGAGCCATGACCGCCTTGTGAGGGATCCAGGTCCCAGTGAATTCCTTGTGGGCATCTAGCCAGACCCTGGCGTGGGTGGGCTGGGGTTTCTGGGTTTGTCCCCCCTCAGTTGGCTCTAGGAGCAGTACTACTCCCCATCCCCCCAGGCTGAAAAGGAGCTGGGGCGGTCAGGCTTTGCCAGGTGCCCACGCTGTCCCTGCCTGTCCCTTTTCTCTTAGAGCCCAAGTGGCAGAAGGACAGGCAGGGCTCCAAGGATGCTTCAGGGCCCAACAGGTTCCCAATCAGCCTCATGGTCTGGGTGCTGTGAGCTTGGGTGTGGGTGTAAGGAGCCTGGCTTGTTCTCCTCTAGGTGGAGTGAGGGAAGAGGTCCCTGGAGGGCTAGAGACCCCACCCATGCTAGCAACAGGGCTCACTTTCTCAGTGCTTTCAGGAAATCCTTAAAACTAAAGACTTGGGGTTCAAGTCTTAGGTTCCAGTCACTGGCTACCACCACCCTTTCCTGCTGTGATCCTCGGCATCTGGTGCCACTTCTCTGAGCCTGGGATGCCCCTCTGTGAAGTGGGGTTAGTGACAGCCACCTCTGAGGGAGCAGGTTATGTGAGCTGTACAGGGAGCTTGGGTGGGGGAATGAAGGAAAAAGAGCTCTGGACAAAATACTTGAGACTTGGAGGACCTGTGGGCCTCAGAGCTGTGTGGCCTGGGGCAAGCCACCACCTGTGCTGAACCACTGTCCCCTGTCCATGAAGCAAGGCCAGCAGTTACCCATCCCCCCAAAGTGGTGAAAGGAATTAAACAGAACTTTTAAGGGCCTGGTGCGCAGTAGGGCCTCAGTAGGACAGGGTGGCCCCGAAGCTGAGGAGGAGGCAGGGCCCAGACCCAGTGCTGGGCAACAGATCCAGCAACCCCCTACCCCAGGGCCAGGAAAGGCTTGGGGAGAGCAGAGGCTGCAGGGGTGGGGCACCCTGTCCCTCTCCAGGTGGCCCATGTTCCCAGGGCTCAGGAAGGCCTCAGCTCTGTGCCCCTGTGGCCTGGGAGGCAGGGGCTTGATGGGTGGGGCTGGTTGCCAGCAGAGGAGAAGGTGACACCTGGTGAGCGAGTGGGACCACACTGGAGCCCCACCAGGTACTCCAGGAGTGGCCTCTGTGGTGTGTCCTCTGAGGACAGAGGGGATGAGTGGTGGCTGGCTCAGGGCAGGGGAGGGACAGGAGGGCCTGGGTCTGCCCACCAGCATGAAAAGTGGGGTGTAGGGGAGGGGATAGCAGATCTAATGCCTGCTGTGGATGGGCTCTTGGTGGGAGTGTGTGTGTGTGTGTGTGTGTGTGTGTGTGTGTGTGTGTGTACACGTGTACGCGCACATACGTGTCCATCTGTCCTGGCATCTCCTGAGAGACCAGGTGACTTCCTGAGAGACATCCACCTTTACAGCCACCTCAGCTGCTGCATATAAGTCACTTCACAGAATGCCTTGGAGTCGGGGGGTGGGGGGATCCTGGCAATGTTAGCTTTTGAGACATATTCTTTTAAAAGTCTAGATTTGGAAAAGATCTTAGGTGTCACTTATTTGAGTGCTTCCAGGATGGGAGACCACTAATTTGTGGCCATGTGACCTTGTGAAAGCTACTTAATGCCTCTCTTTAGTTTGAAACCCAGGTAGGTAGAGTGAAAGGGAAGCTTTTAGCATGGTGTTTGACACATGCTGGGCACCGCATAAATGTTGCTGTCTTGCTTTTTCACTGAGCTGTGTTCTGTGGTTGGGAGGGAACAGAGGTGCGCGGGGGAAGGCGACCACCTGCCCCAGCCCCAGCCTCCCTGTTTCAGGCATCCAGGCCTCCTGATTTTGCTGCTCCTGGCAGCTCTGGTTAACACTGAGCCATGGGTCCTCCCTGTAAAAATGAAAACTGGGGTCCCCTAGACTGCTGCAGACCAGGCCCCAGGGTGAGCACAATCTTCTTGCAGCAGCTGGGGGACCCCACAGGGGTGCCAGCCAGCCTCTTAGCTCCCAGGGTAGGGTATCTTCTCAGTCTGTCTCAGAACACTCCTGCTCCCCTTCTGTGAGGGCTTGATAATCCAAAAAGCAGCTATTACTCAAGCTTGCCCACGAAGCCCTCCTGTATTTGGTATTTAGTCTTTGTGACGTCTAATGAAATAGGACTTCACTGAGCTTGTATTTTACAGAGAAGTTAAGTGTCTTGCCCAGAGTCACACAGCCATGAAGTAGTACAGCTGCGCCGAGCCAGGGCCTGGCAGGCTAATAGGAGGGGTTGCGATCTTAATTCTATGTCTTCTTGCTGTGTGATTTTACCAGTGTACTTCACCATCTCTTTGGGCCTCTCTACCCCCAAATTATGCCCATATTTGCTTCTGTTTAATAAGTGTGTCTCTTCCCAGACGGGTGCCGTAGCTTTTGCTCCTTTAATTCTCATGTAGTCATGGAGTTGCCGGCGGGGGAGGGGATGTGCTTTGGTATCTGAATCCATAGCAGCTCTGAGGGGTGCAGGCCAGCGAATGTGCATGTGAGGGACTCGTGTCAAGGTCTGTGGTCAGCACAGGAGAGGGGAAATGTCTGGCATCTTAGGCTGAGAGGAGTCTAAGAAGTCACTGTTCCCTTGATGCCACCTGAGTGGGGGCTTACTCTGCTGAGGTGGCCAGGCCTGACCCTGTCCCCCAAGTGCTGACCCTGCACTGGGGTCACTTCAGATTCTCAGCCCTACCGTGGGTGAGCTGGGTGGGGCTGACCTTATTGCCTGGACTGACACAGCAGGGTCCCCTAGCGGCATGAGTAGTGTCACTGTGCTTTCTGGATAGACCAGGAGCTTCCTGGGGTGTGTGTTCACTGAGCCCCAGGGACCCCTTAGAGCCTGGCTGGGAGTGAAATGATTCACGTGGCGAATAAAGGAAGGAGGGAGTGTAGGAAAGGTGCAGGAAGGAAGCTGGGATTGTGGACGTGGCAAGGGACAGCACGGCTGGCAGGGGCCTGCGGGGTCCAGGGCCGGTGCAGTGGGCTGGGTGGCGCCAGGGCTGTGAAGGGCTGGCCTGCGGTCTGTGCGCCCTGGCGCTGCCACTACCACATCTGGTGGGGCTGGAGGGGCTGTGGCTCTGGGCTTCAGCCCAGCTTCTGGGAGCCCGGTGATTTTGTGTCAGGGAAGGGAAGCCAGAGCTCATCGCCCCCATCCCTTCCAGACCCCACGAGGGTGGGAGCAGTCTGTGCTGCTCCTGGCCCACCTGGCTCATCTTGCCACTGGGCCCCTTCAGACCTCTGTCCCTCACAGCATTCTGCCCCACCTCCCCCGGACATCAGGCTGGCTGCCCATAAACATGTTTGGATGGAGCCTCCCCACTTTGCTCCCAGCTTCCCAAGAGGACGGGTAGCCTTTACTTCCGGCCCCCTCCCTCCAGAGCAGGCCCTGGCAGAGGGGCAGCCGGTCCCCTCCCCCCACCAGGCTCAGTCTGAGAGCCAAACAGGAAGCTGTGATTACAGGGGGAGTCTGAGCGGCCAGGGCTAAGGGCCCAGCTGTGGGATTGCGGGTGGGGGTGCAGATGTTCCAGTCTCTTTCCCACCTGGGTGCTGAGGGTGGAGCCGGTTCTGTAAACCTTATTGCCTGGACTGGCACAAGCTTGTTTGCCCATCCCTGGTCCCCTTCGGCCTGGTGCTGTGTCTGGAGCCCAAGCCTGAGTACACAACTTGAAGGAGTGGGGACCCTGGAGCCGACTAATCCAGCAAGTTTACTTAACCTCTCCTAGCCTCAGTTTCCTCTTCTTTAAAATGGGGCCGCAAGGACCGGTGAGATAGCTCAGCAGACTGTTTGCTTAGGCAAGCACAGGGACTGAGGTTCCATCCTGGGTGTTCCATGAGGGCCCTGTCCCTGGGCATACTGAGCCAGCCACCGAGACCTTGCATGGTGGCAAACACCTGTAATCCCAGTGCTGGGAGGCTGAAAACAGGATTGCTGAGTCCAAGCTTCAGTGAGACCCTGTACCAAGTACATTTAAAAAGTAG